AATTACTAATAATGATTTGCAYTTTATTTTAAGACCAAAGGTACCGAAATTGTGTTTGTTTTCGTTGCACATACCTGTACTAGGCGACTGAATGTTTTCTGTACTTCGCGACTGTAAAATAGCAGGACTCTAGTAAAACAAAATATACAGAAAAGTTGTAATAGTATGCGTAGACGGGCATTTTATTGGGCTACCTGTGGCAGCGCCGTGGGGAAAATATGCTGTGGGGTTTTTAGTTTGCTTTTCTTTTGAACGAAAATTGAAAACTTGCGCAATAGTAACGAAAGGATCTTAACTCAGTAGGTCTTTGCCGCCATCATATATGGGTTTCAGCGTGACACAAATGCGTTACTCACCCAGCTATCTAGCTTTCTCTCGTAGCACGTTATACGTGAAGTTATGCTCAGTTCTTCTTGACCAGCGATCGAGGGCTGAAATCATAAAAAACACCCCCAACTTACTTTGGGCATTTTTCCCCATATCATAACGGTTGCGCCCTTTGTACCGTTACTTTGCTTCGTATTGTTACTAGCGTCAATGCGAATATATAGACCTAATATTTTGACTAGCCWCGCTAATTCGTCCAGTGACCGGACGCTCGAAAGCGATCGGCCTCTCCGAGCAGTAGCTTAGTAACAACGTAATTTAAAAAGATTAAAACAAATCATACTTCAGATTGCTCCAGAGAAGATCCACTGTGTGTCTGACTCGTACCATAGGTGGTCAGATTTCTAGTATAGAACAAAAAGACATCACAACAATGATCAATATATTGATTTATTTTCTCTATCTCGTACGTACTGTTACAACTTACTTTGCTCTCGCTGTGGCTGAAGACAGGCTGGCGGTTGTCGGTCGGTGGATACTTGCTTTCCTGTTTGGATATACACATGTTGTTTTGAATAAAAACGATTCGCGATACAAAGTGGAACAACAGAGCGGTTATTGTATTAGTGGGAAAACATATAGTCGTCTTCAACGCAACCGTTCTTAGTGTCCTCACGCAAAGCTCACTCCCCACTAATCGTGCGCTATGATTGGTTCAACAGTGACAGATAACMGCAARRGCCTCTTCTTGCTAGGCTGCACGATGTGCTGGWAAGCGGCGATTCATGTCGAGCGTCCATTTACATGTTTAAACACAGTGCGCGCACTGACGGTATTGCAGTCACTGAACAACAGAATAGAATATCCGTCACTGCCGTGATTGCGTGACTGTCGCGTCATACTGTACCCTGGGTTTCAGAGACTCTCTCTCGCTCCAATGTCCCTCGGTCATAGCATGGCTACGCTCCTCGGGCACTGGATSGAGAGGACGTCTGACATCCAGGACGTGACGTCAAAGCTGCTCAATTTAGAGGACAAAAAAAAAAAACGATTTCAAAATCTCATGAGAATTGGAAACTTATTATGTCCTCCAAATTGAGCTGCATTCTGACGTTCTGCAAGGGCCTATTCATACTGCGTATATTCATATATAGATATATTCATATATATCCAGTGCACTTACTTTCCGGGAAAAAGTTTCGAATGGATCATTTGATTGTGGGTCGTTCGATGTTCCAGGAATGACCTAAAATCCATGCAATACATTAAGTTAGAAAAATTCTTATAWGGAAGGGGGAGTGTGGGAGGGGTAGGACCGGAGGACTGTTGTGCTTCACGTACACCTACCCATAGAGTTCCCAGGATTCTGACGTTGGAAAAATCCTAACAAAACCTCCACGTCTGTCGTGTTCTTCRTTGGTCTGTCGAAGGATTCTCATTTCCTCTGATGTCAAGGTCAATGTCTCGTCTACTTTCCTCCTGGAGGAAGAGGGTCGTAATGACGAGGAAGAAAGGACTGGCCCTGCTGACATGGTGCGCTGTTTCTGTTGGGGATAAAGCAAAATTATACTTCACTCCTAATTTTGTATCACAGGCAAGTCCGACCCTTAACACCATAAAGGTGATGCTGGTTAAAGCTCTCGGCTTGAAGCGTAGAAAAGGATGCGTGTATGAATAGAATGTGAGCTGATGCTCTAGCAAATACTAAGATGCACTAAGAGCGATGTGCGTGATGCGTAAATGTCTTCCATGACGAAGCAAAGAATCTAGGGACGAAATAATAATGATGATGATGACAATAAAATAATATAATAATGATGATAATAATAATAATGATAATAATAATATGATATAATAATAATATGATATTATAAAAATAATAATAATAATAATAAGATATAATAATAATAATATGATATGATAATAAAGCACCTGGTATGTCTTGTTGCTGGGAGCATAATCTGGTACACGGCGTATRGGGTTCCTCCGAACCAAAGGGTCGTGTGCTACATARCCTGTAGGGAAATTACATAAKGTGTTTACTTGAACTAAGCTCCTCTGTCTACAAGATARGYTCTTTTAAACTGAGAGGGTATTGTCATTGGTGGTAGTAAACCCTGGTCTTTGCTATTGTTTGTGGTGGTGGTAAATCCCTCCTTGCTGTTTGTGATGGTGGTTGCATCATTGTTATTATTGTTGCTGTTAGTTGTGGTGTAGTTGTTATCACAGTATTATTTGCTGTCGGCGGGGGTAGTAATACCCTAGTTGTTCCAGGTGATCTCGTTTTGACATCCCATCAAAAACCAGCCAATTATCGCGCAGGAAGAAACCTGATCAGGCGGTCCATCTAAAAAAAAAACATGGCGGCCGAAGTCAGAAAAAATTACTCTGAATCTTTGCTTCCCTAGCTACTTCATGGACTAGCAATACATCTAAAATTCTACCTATTCTCATAATGAATATCTACGAGTCAAATGGTGCGCTGTGGTTTCAATTCTTTTATGAGATTATCGTCAAATGATAGCTCTTTGTTCGCCGATAAACGATTGAAACTAGGACTGCCTGATCAACTACAACAATCCTTTGCGCGCGTTCCCTAAAATCACCTGGTGTTGGTGGTAGTGGTTGTGACATCGTTTTTTTGTTGTTGTCATTCAACATGATACATACCAACAAGATTAAACATGTCTGTTATCAAATGAGACTTGATTTTTAAATCCAATGGAGATTCACTAAAGAAGAAAAAAAATGAAAAAATGATGGACAATAATTTAGCAAGGTGTGCTTAAGAGAACTCCATCATTTATTTTTTTCCTTTTCAAGATTAATAGACCCTTTCCGAGTTCCAAATTACAGACTCATTTGCTCAGGCTAAGCCTCGATTTTGTGAAGAATATTAACGTGTTCCAGTCAAGGTCCGTCAAGTTTCAAAATGTTCGTATTGTTGAACTTGTGCATTCTTTACTTTACCGTGGGTATTTGCGAGTAATTAGACACTGATTCCAGGCTAAGCCTGAGTAAATGAGTCTGTAATCAAGAAACACAGCGGTAATTTGGAACTCAAAAAGGGTCTATTTGACCCGTTGTACTTTCTTTATCCCCTCTCCATCCCACACGTTTGTGATACCAGTCTTACCAAGCTAACGAAGGAGACAGATTAACTTCAAGAAGCCAGGG